TTTTATATACATATACTGTACTCTGATAATTAAGCTTATGTGTACCTGTACCTAAGTAAACTTACACACTGTGCTGGTGTGCAGGTACACATTAAAATCACTAAGAGTGTCTTATTAGTCTTGAAGATGCCATATTAATATTGATAATAATAATAATAGCACAATAATCACTCTGAGGTGCATTAAATGTCGCATAAAATGATAATACAGACATTTTGCTTAATCCATCTATGATATTTTCTTCAAAATTATGTAATAAACCACTATGTAACATATAAACATGATAAATACACCCACAGTAGAAAAAAATAACATAAATATGAGATGTTTTTGCAGGCAGTGTGTTGGAAAGAATAACATTTTCTCTGGCCCAACACCAAAGAAAATGTGTACACAATAGTATTACCAGGGGTAACTGTAGAAAATTATTCCTTTTGCATGCCTTCACTCAGAATGTTATTCCTCCTAAAAATGGTGTGCTACATGAGAATGGGAGTGTTGCTCTATTTATTTTACTATACCAATGTGGAGACAACTTGCACGCAATGTAAAGTGTTTGTATTATGATATAAGCTTCACAAATCAACTGTATTATGATATAAGCTTTACAAATCAAAGTATATCAACGTATATCAACCCAACAGCCACGTTCGACTGATTATTTACATACTCTGCGGCTACCTGTCCTCTCATTTACTCATTCTCTCTCCATCTCGTTTATTTGTTTTTATCTTATTTACTCATCTCACACATCACATTAACCCTTTCAGGGTTGGTGCCATACTAGTATGGCTTGCACGCCAGGGTTGGTGCCGTACTAGTACGCATAAATTCTAGCTCCTTCAAATCTAGCGAGAAAAAGCTGGTAGGCCTACATATGAAAGAATGGATCCATATGGTCAGTGTGCGCAGTATTAAAAAAATCCTGCAGCACACAGTGCATAATGGTTTAACCCTTAAACGGTCCAAACAGATCGACATTCAAATCCGTAGTGCTCCAAAAGTAGATCTACGTTTTTTTTTACATATTTTCAAATGTAAAACAAGAAAGAAGATCTACATTTTTTTACATACTTTCAAATGTTGAAAAAAACGTATATATACGTATGGACCATTTAAGGATTAAAACAGCAAATTTGCAGTGTATTTTCGTATGCTATTTATGGTTGTATCCTAGTTTTCCTGGTCTCAATTTATAGAATGGAAGACATATTATGGAAATTGAGATGATTTTGATTGATTTCACAATGAAAAGTACCTGGAAATTGAACTCAAAGTAGCAGAAATGTTCGATTTTTGCCAAAGTTCAAAGGTAAACAAATCATGCCACACGTCCAATACTGGTGAGTCTAATATTCTTTCACAAGTGCACTGATATTACTTATACCATTTCTACACGAATGCAGTAGTCTCCATAACATAAATCTTCTATTTTTTGTGAGAATAAAAATTCAAAGTGGAAAGCAAAAGAAACGTAGCAGAGGCCTGGGGACGTGAGTAATCAACAGAGGAAATGTTATTTTAGTGCCAGGAAGATCTGTCTTGTTTATTCAGGACCCTATTTGGAAATTGGCATCTTTTGAAATTTGTGTGAAATTGGCAAAATTGCCAATTACTGACCACGTTGCTGGTTAGTAGAAATCGGTAAATGAGTAGTTTCTTGTACTCATTCGATAGACAAAATGGAGTTCTAGCGAAATAGGTATGATTTTTGTCGACTTGTACATTGGAATTGACTGATAATAGGGCTCAAAGTGGATGAAATCACCGATGCGTAAACATCGTTGAGACCGCTAACTTCACGAGAACATAATTCCGTAAGTCTCCCATCAAATTTCATAATTTTGGTGTCATTATGATCGGGAAAAGATTCTCTATCATAAGAAAAAAATTTTTTTTTTTTTCGAAAAATTTCCGACCCTGAGAATAAGTTTAGGAGAGGACCTGCCGACCCTGAAAGGGTTAGGACTACAAATATTTTAGGGTAAGTAATGAGTGTACTGTATATGCATTTTTATCGCTCTAGGGCATAGTACATTACGTGTGTGTGGGGTGGGGTGGCCAGGTGAGCTACCATACCTACCAAATCTGACTTCTTACAATAAACACCACTCACCCTACATTAAGACTACAAATATTTTAAGGCAAGTCATGAGTGTACTGTGTGTGTATTTTACTTTTCATTTTTTTTAAAGCCTAGTTCTATTGCTAGCTTAACCCTTTGAGGGTCGACAGGCCCTCTCCGAGACTCGTTCTCAGAGTCGGCCAAATTTAAAAAAAAAAAAATAATTTTTTCTTATGAAAAGATAGAGAATCTTTTCCCGATCATAAGGACACCAAAAATATGAAATTTGATGGAAAACTTATGGAATTATGCGCTCGCGAAGTTAGCGGTCTCGGCAATGTTTACGGATCGGCGATTTTGCCCACTTTGAGCCCCATTTTCAGCCGGTTCCACTGTACTAGTCGACAAAAAACAAGAATATTTCGCTAGAACTCCATATTTTCTATTGAATGAGTGCAAGAAACCACCCATTTACCAATTTCAACTATCCAGTACAGTGGTCAGAATTTAGCAATTTTGCCAATTTCACACAAATTTCAAAAGATGCTAATTTCCGAATAAGGTCCAGAACAAACAAGAAATACATTCCTGGCACTAAAATGACATTTCCTCTGTTCATTAGTCATGTCTCAAGGCCCCTCTTACATTCTTTTGCTTTCCACTTTGAATTTTTATTCTCAAAAAATAGAAGATTTACTGTTATGCAGACTACTGCATTAGTGTAAAAAAATGGTATGAATCATATTGGCGCACTTGCAAAAGAATATTAGACTCACCAGTTGACGTGAATTGGACGCTTGGCATGATTTGTTTACTTTTGAACTTTGGAAAAAATTGAACATTTCTGCTACTTTGAGCTCAATTTCAAGGTACTTTTCATTGTAAAACCAGTCAAAATCATCTCAATTTCTATGATATGCCTTCCATTCTATAAAATGAGACCAAGAAAACTAGAATACAACAATAAATACCATACGAAAATAGAGTGCAAAGTCGCTGTTTTATTCCCAAAAAACGGTCAAAGTTTTTTTTTTCTCATTATGCACTGTGTGCTGCAGGATTTTTTTTTATACCGTGCACACTGACCACATAGACCCATTCTTTCATATGGAGGCCTACCAGCTTCCTCCCACTAGATTTGAGGGCGCTAGAATTTAGGCGTACTAGTACGTCAAAAACCCTGGGTCGTAATCCGTACTAGTACGTCCGAAACCCTCAAAGGGTTAATATATGTTAGTGTAAATTAATCTGACATTTATAAGTGGAAATAAATGATGTCCACTTTCCGGCGGTAGCCTGGATCCTAACCAGTCGAATAAGTGGGGCCCTACTGTATTAGTGAAACGCAGTAAAGCAAAGCAATGTAAAATAGGGCCTGCCTGTATACAGCTAGATCTCGATTAGTGCGAACAATGAATCCCATGAAGTGGTTGTATTATTCAAATTCACACTATTTGAAGTTATAATTACAGCCTCTCCTCACTTAGTAACGTACTACTTGTTTACCGACGACTCAGACTTATGACGGGCTCTCTGACCAGTATATTAGAGCTGATTTCCTCTATTCTGTTTATTACAATATACAGTACATACTATATAAACATTTAAAAATATACAGTATGGTTAGTGGGATAGAGATGTATTGTTAAATTAGGTGACCACTGTTAGTCCAACAAAATTCATGTACCAGCAAGGCTTAGAAACCAAGGGTGCCAAAAAATCGGTGTTGTACCAGTATAGGTATGTTAACCCCTTGACTGTCACAACCCCCCCCCCAATCCTGAGGTGTCTCCTGGTGTCACAAAATTTCAAAAAAAAAAAAAAAAATATTTTTTCTTATGAAATGATAGAGAATCTTTTCCTGATTGTAATGACACCAAAAGAAACGAAATTTGATGGAAAACTGACGGAATTACGCTCTCGCGAAGTTAGTGACCTCGGTGATATTTACAAATCGGTGATTTCACCCACTTTGAGCCCTATTTTCGGCTAATTCCATTGTTCCAGTTGACCAAACTCATAGCTATTTCTTTAGAACTCCATTTTTTCTATCGACTGAGTACAAGAAACTGCCCATTTACCGATTTCAACTACACAATAACGTGGTCAGAAATTTGCAATTTGGCCAATTTCACAAAAATTAAAAAATATGACAATTTCAAAATAAAGTCCAGAATGAACACTGCAGACATTCCTGGCTCTAAAATAGCATTTTCTTTGTTCATCAGTCACGTCTCCAGGTCCCTCTGATATTACTCTTGCTTTCTATTTTGAATTTTTATTCAAACAAAAAATTAGAAGATTTACTGTTATGCAGACTACTGCAATACTGTAATAATTGTACAAATAATGTCAACCCATTCATGACTGCATATTAGAATGGCTAGTTGGACATTTATTGGACAATGACATCATTTGTTTACTTTTGAACATCAGCAAAAATCAAACATTTCCCCTACTTTGAGCTCCATTTCCAGGTTCTTTTTATAGTAAAACCAATCAAAATCACCTCCATTTCTTTAATATGTTTTCCATTCTATCAAATGAGACCAAGAAAACGAGAATACAACCATAAATACTATATGAAAATAGACCACAAATTCGGCATTTTAATAAAAATGCACTGCATGCTCCAGGATTTTTTTTATATGGTACACACTGACCACACAGACCCATTCTCTCACATGTGGGCCTACCAGCTTTCTCCTGCTTGATTTGAAGCCGCTAGAATTTATGAGCATATATGAATATCAAAATGGTATACAATACCGACAGGTTAGTAGGTAAGACACATAGGCAACAGTCAGGCAACTTTATTTCAGAATAAAGTTGCCTGACTGCTGCCTATGTGTCATGAGTATATATACGTCAAACACAGTGGCTTGTAAGACAGTCAAAGGGTTAAATCATTTCACACTTTCAAGTATCTACTAACGTGCCAGACTTGAGTTCTGATATAACAGAAGGACGAATGCAGTTTGGTGGAACCAGAAGACGTGTAAGAATGAGATCCTTGGGATGTGAAAACTGCTGATCCATGCACAGCAAAGGTAGGTCAGCAAGTGGAATCTGAAATGTCCATAATGAGAGAATTAAACAAAAACAGCAACATATGTTACCAAAAACTAAAGTAGGAATTGTTTTCCAATATAAAAAAAAATATTCTGTCAAAATTCATATTTTGTTATTTTGAAATCACTAGCAAATGTGTAAGTACAAAAATGGCAGAAAAATAGTGGTCCCTTGAGTTATGATAATTTATAATTATGATTTACCCTCATAAAGGAATTTAGTTTTGAGTTGTGATGAAAAAATTGAGATATAATACAGGAACAATGGTCGGCACAAGTAGAGAAGGCCTCAGTCAACTAGCAATGCAGGACCTTGAATCCTGGGCAGTGACTGAGCCTATAGGAGAATCAGTGGAAGAAGTGTGGTTTAGCAATCAATCAGCAATGGGAATGAATGTCTTTTACGGAAGCATCTCAGCCAATAGCAGCATTTATACTATAGTTCATTGTTTTCTCTTCAGACTGAAGCTACTGCATATGTTCTCTGCACCAACTCAGAATTATTTATCTTTCATAACTGTATCTCAACCGCCCAGGGAAGTACTACCGTCATGACAAGTGAGTGTAAAACGAAAGCCTGTAATTATTTTACATGATGGTAGGATTCCTGGTGTCTTTTTTTTTGTCTCATAAACATGCAAAATTTCAGATACATCTTGCTACTTCTACTTACACTTAGGTCACACTACACACATCTTTCAACATTCAACAAACCGGCTGTATCCCACCAAGGCAGGGTGGCCCAAAAAGAAAAACAAAAGTTTCTCTTTTTAAATTTAGTAATTTATACAGGAGAAGGGGTTACTAGCCCCTTGCTCCCGGCATTTCAGTCACCTCTTACGACACACATGGCTTACAGAGGAAGAATTCTGTTCCACTTCCCCATGGAGATAAGAGGAAATAAACAAGAACAAGAACTAGAAAGAAAATAGCAGAAAACCCAGAGGGGTGTGTATATATATGCTTGTACATGTATGTGTAGTGTGACCTAAGCGTAAGTAGAAGTAGCAAGACATACCTGAAATCTTGCATGTTTATGAGACAGACAAAAGACACCAGCAATCCTACCATCATGTAAAACAATTACAGGCTTTCGTTTCACACTCACTTGGCAGAACGGTAGTACCTCCCTGGGCGGTTGCTGTCTACCAACCTACTACCTAGGACAAATATGTACAAGCATATATGTACATACCCCTCTGGGTTTTCTTCTATTTTCTTTCTAGTTCTTGTTCTTGTTTATTTCCTCTTACCTCCATGGGGAAGTGAAACAGAATTCTTCCTCCATAGGCCATGCGTGTTGTAAGAGGCGACTAAAATGCCGGGAGCAAGGGGCTAGTAACCCCTTCTCCTGCATATATTACTAAATGTAAAAGGAGAAACTTTAGTTTTTCCTTTTGGGCCACCCCGCCTTGGTGGGATACGGCCAGTATGTTGAAACAAAGAACTGTATCTGTTGTAGGTAGTAGGTTGGTAGACATGTCCTGCCAAGTGAGTGTAAAATGGAAACCTGCAATTGTTTTACATGATGGTAGGATTGCTGGTGTCTTTTTTCTGTCTCATAAACATGCAAGATTTCAGGTACATCTTGCTACTTCTACTTACACTTAGGTCACACTACACATACATGTATACAAGCATATATATACACACCCCTCTGGGTTTTCTTCTATTTTCTTTCTAGTGCTTGTTCTTGTTTATTTCCTCTTATTTCCATGGGGAAGTGGAACAGAATTCTTCCTCCGTAAGCAATGCGTGTTGTAAGAGGCAACTAAAATGCCGGGAGCAAGGGACTAGTAACCCCTTCTCCTGTACAAATTGCTAAATTTAAAAAGGAAAACTTTCGTTTTTCTTTTTAAGCCACCCTGCCTTGGTGGGATATGGCCGGTTTGTTTAAAAAAAAAAAAACTGCATCTGTGATTTAATTATGTTGTCTTTTGTGTTTGCAAGTCATCATGGCCCCCTAAAGCAATTTGTCTGAAGATCAAGCAAGAAATTTTGTAAAACACGATGGAGTTAGAATTAACGTATTGGTGCAAGAGCATGGCTTTCCACAAACAACCATCTCTACTATTATCAAGCAAGAAGAAATTCTAAAGAATATTGAAGTGGCCGATGGATCTAGGCCGGTGAAAAAAGGCAGAGAAATTATCATAGAGATAGAAAAAACATTGCAAGACAGAAGCAGATGAAGGGAGATACAGTGCCTGGAACTTGTATCTGTGAGTGTGCAAGATAAAGTTATGATGATTCAACACATTTTTCACCCTCAAGATTAGATGATATTCTATAAAATACTTCTACAGCTAGCAAATGGTAGTTCAAGGCTGTTAAAAAAACAGGGATGATATTAAAAGTGTTGTGAAACCTGGTAAGGCTTCCACACTACATGATGAGACTTCCACACTATATGATGAGGCTTCCACACTGCATGATGAAGTTTCCACACTACATGATAAGGCTTCCACACTACATGGGCACATGAGCAAGAACCCATCGTGCTCCTCCGTCACTCCCCCGCGTGCTCTTCCATTTTTCCCGGATTATCATAGTTTTTTCCCTTGCCAGAAGCATAAAATTGTGTCAGTGAACTTGTAAAGTATATCTCTTAAATGCTTCAAACTAATTTAGGGAAAACATAGTACACACCGAGCCAGAAACAAGGAAAGAAGTGTGCATATAAGATAGTAGTGGTGCCATTTTTACACGAGGTCAACTATGTGTACGTATTTTATTTTTTTATTGTTTTTAATACCTAGTTCTATTGCTAACTTAATATATGTTAGTGTAAACTTTATATGCATTTATAAGTGGAAAAAAGGGTATTCCAATTTACGGGGATTTCCCCTTTATGGAAGTAGCCTGGAACCTAACCTGCCATATAAGTGGGGTCTTACTGTACCTTTAATGAGTTTCGAGTCTCACTACTCTCAGAGCTTGGCCATGGGCCAGGCTCGTCTAGTGCTTGCCTGGTCAACTAGGCTGCTGCTGCTGGAGGCCTGCTGCCCTACATATCCATCACAGCCTGGTTGATCCAGCACTTGGTGAGGATACTTGTGCAGATTCCTCTTGAAGGCTTCTACACTTGTTCCAGCCATGTTTCTGATATCTTCTGGTGAGATGTTGAATAGTCTGGGGCCATGAATGTTGATACAGCATTCCCTTATTGTGCCCATTGCACCCCTGCTCCCCACTGGGTATATTTTGCCTTTTCTCCCATATCTCTCACTCCAATATGTTGTTATGGCAGTCTGAAGATTTGGAACCAGGTCCTCAAGTGCTTTCCAGGTATATACAGTGGACCCTCGACCAACGATGGCATCGATTAACGATAAATCTGACTAGCGATACATTTTAACGCAAAAATTTTGCCTCGACTAGCTCTTAAAAACCCAACCAGCGCTATTCGTTCCGTACCATACGCGTGCACTTTGGCCTGAGCGTGCCTCACTTGTCCCTTTGGTGCCAGTGTTTACAAGCCAGCCAGCCACCGTGGTCACTTCCAAACATACAACTGGAACATTTTATATTATCACAGCCTTTGTAGTGATTGCATCTGCAAAATAAGTCACCATGGGCCCCAAGAAAGCTTCTAGTGCCAACCCTACAGCAAAAAGGGTGAGAATTACTATGGAGATGAAGAAAGAGATCATTGATAAATATGAAGTTGAGTGCGTATCTCTGAGCTGGTCAGGTTGTATAATAAACCCCAATCAACCATCGCTACCATTGTGGGCAAGAAAACGGCAATCAAGGAAGCTGTTCTTGCCAAAGGTGCAACTATGTTTTCGAAACTGAGATCACAAGTGATAGAAGATGTTGAGAGACTGTTATTGGTGTGGATAAACGAGAAACAGATAGCAGGAGACAGCATCTCTCAAGCGATCATATGTGAAAAGGCTAGGAAGTTGCATGACGATTTAATTAAAAAAATGCCAGCAACTAGTGATGTGAGTGAATTTAAGGCCAGCAAAGGTTGGTTTGAGAGATTTAAGAAGCGTAGTGGCACTCATAGTGTGATAAGGCATGGTGAGACTGCCAGTTCGGACCACAAATCGGCTGAAAAATATGAGCAGGAATTCAAGGAGTACATAGACAGTGAAGGACTGAAACCTGAACAAGTGTTTAATTGTGACGAAACAGGCCTGTTTTGGAAGAAAATGCCAAGCAGGACATACATTACTCAGGAAGAAAAGGCACTCCCAGGACATAAGCCTATGAAAGACAGGCTTACTCTGTTGATGTGTTCCAATGCTAGTGGTGATTGCAAAGTGAAGCCTTTATTAGTGTATCACTCAGAAACTCCCAGAGCGTTCAGACAAAAGAATATCCTCAAGGCTAATTTGTGTGTGCTGTGGAGGGCAAACAGTAAGGCATGGGTCACTAGGGACTTTTCTATGACTGGTTACACCAAGCATTTGCCCCCAATGTGAAAGATTACCTAACTGAAAAGAAATTAGACCTTAAGTGCCTCCTGGTGTTAGACAATGCCCCTGGTCATCCTACAGACGTGGCAGAGCGACTTTATGGGGACATGAGCTTCATTAAGGTGAAGTTTTTGCCTCCTAATACCACTCCTCTCCTGCAGCCCATGGACCAGCAGGTTATTGCAAACTTCAAAAAACTGTACACAAAAGCTCTGTTTGAAAGGTGCTTTGTAGTGACCTCAGAAACTCAATTGACTCTAAGAGAGTTTTGGAGAGATCACTTTAATATCCTCAAATTGTGTAAACCTTATAGGTAAGGCTTGGGAGGGAGTGACTAAGAGGACCTTGAACTCTGCTTGGAAGAAACTGTGGCCAGAATGTGTAGACCAAAGGGATTTTGAAGGGTTTGAGGCTAACCCTGGGAATCCTATGCCAGTTGAGGAATCCATTGTGGCATTGGGGAAGTCCTTGGGGTTGGAGGTTAGTGGGGATGATGTGGAAGAGTTGGTGGAGGAGGACAATGAAGAACCAACCACTGATGAGCTGCTAGATCAACTTCAACAGCAAGAGG